GATATCAAAAAAGTACTCCAGAGTGTTGTTCAGCATGGGGGTGAGTAGAAAATGAAGGCTAATCATGTTTTGGGTGGACTATTCCTTTAAATACATTTGAAGCTTTTTTCTTGCAAAAAATTCCTCTGTTTCAGCTTCCTAACATTATCCAAACCAAACCTTTCTAGATTTTTATTGGCAAACATTGTTTAAAAAGTCACTTTTTTTCTACTTTAACATATTGCAATACTGTAAAATAATCCCTGATAAAGAACATCTTAAAGATCTAAGTCTATACCCAAAGTAAAAACATATTTTATATTAAAAAAAAATATATATATTCCTGTTGTTCTGATATGATTTAGTTCTTAAATCTGATGCCGTGTTTTTGTAACTGAGCTCCAGGATTAAAAGGATCAGCAGCTGCAGGGGTCCCACTGTGGGAACCACAAACACAAAACTTCCACCTCAATCAGAGTCCAGGCAGGAGGATTGGAAACAAGTTTATTCGTACAAAAACAAGGATGCTAAGAAAATTGCATGATAAATATTTTGAACAGTTTGAAGTATTTTGTAACTAAAACAGTGCCGTCAGTCAGTGGTGAATGGAAGCTCTCACACGGAGCACAATGAGCCCAAACCGAAGCACTAAACTCCCAAACGGCAACAGAGACGCTGTGAATGGGACGTCTGTGGTCCTCAGCATCAGCAGGTCCAGATGATTTCCTTCAGTCTGCATCTAATCAGTGTCAACACAATTTGATTTTACAAATAAAAATAAAAAACAAAGGAGCTAAAGTTTGGTTCTGGATGAACTTATCAGTGCAGGACTGATATTTAAAATAGAAACTATAAACTCATTCCTATCATCAAACTATTGACAGATAATCTGCTATAGCACATTTAAAATCCTTGTTTGGGTTTAATTTAATCATTTTGCCAATTAGCTTCTTAATAAAACCAAGTGGCTTCTTACAGGGGCACAGCCAGGAATTTGGGGGCCCATGAAAGACATTGATAGTTAGTTCTACGTTAACTTTAAATTGCATAAACTGGTGGATAAAAACTGTGGTCTATTTATTCATGCTTTGTTTCACTGTTTACTGCTAAAGAATTTTACTGCTGGATTTTATTTTTATATTTGAAATATCTATTGGGGCACGTCTTTTCTTCTTCTTTTGGGCCCCACCTTAATCAAGGGCCCTTAGAATCTTCTGAACCCCTAAAACGCGCCCCTGGATTCTTCTATTTATGAACTCTTGACTGAATGAGACTAATTTTACTCTTTAATCGGCTCCTAAGGTGATTTTTGAGGAGAACCAATCTTTTTATGCAGTTAGAATCTAGCAGTAAATTTGTCTTTTCGTTCGTAATAAAAGATTGTTTGATCCTGGAGGCTAAGGCTAATAGCTAGATCAATAGGAGCCATTTTAAAACCTATTTTATTTCATAAGCATCACTGAGGTTAAAGTCAATTTAATTATATGAAGCTTTTATTGCATTTTTCTGGAGTTTGGAGGCAAATGAATGTTCATTTATTATAGGATAAAAAAA